ATGCTTAGGATTGAAATTTTAGTACCTAAGCACCAAGGTGTATAGGAACAAAAAGTAATGTCTAAAATGGTCCACATCTAATACTACTCAATATTATTATTATTCTAGAAGCTGAGTATCTATGGAGACATGGAATACATGAATGAACAAAAACTGAACCGATATCCACCTTCTGCCCTCATGGTAGTGAAATGCAAGGCTGATGAACAAGAAGCAGGACCTCTGCCTACAAAAGTGAATTTGTCTCAGTCAGCAATATAGATTTTAAAAATGAATGCATTAGACTAAATTCTAAGACTTCTATTATTAACTTTGGTGACTTTTTCCAATGAAGGGGCTTGTGGGGAGGTCAGTATTGAGAATCAAATAAAGTTGCTGAATCAATGAAGGTTGTACTGTCATGACGTTCAGTCTTTTTCACTAGTGGAAGAAATTGTATTGAGCAGGTGGGACTTGCACTGCACTTGCTGCATTTTTTGCCTACCAAAATCCCTGCTATTGTTTATATGTTGAGGTTAAGGTATTTGCATATTATAAACATCTGTCAGAATGTATATTTGGAATCTATTTCAAAAATTGTAAGGAATTTTTGGTTGAAGATGCCTTTTAAGTTGTTTTTAGATGTGGATAAATTAAACTAACATGTTGAGCTGATTACAAAACTCATGGTACTTTAAATTGTTTTCACCAATAAAGATCTATTTCTGTTTAATTCAATGCTAATTTCGGGCCTTAAAGCAGAGTGGGCCAGAAATAAAACTTTAATTTAAAAAATATATAAATTAGGATTTCTTTCTGTATTGTGTTCTAGAATAGCTGTTCAGATTGTATTGTTTTCCTTAAACTAGCCTGGCTTGACATTTGTCGTGTTTGTCACAGAGTTTCCCACTTTTAGAAAGCTCTTGAAGAGGCAAATAACCTTTGAACAAATTTTCTATTCTAGCATTTAACTGACTGCAGTCTGGGCAGTATTCAGCATGAGCTTAATTCATATGTAACAAGAAATCAAGAGCATTATGACAATGAGCCATGGCAAACTTTCAGGTTCGTACATACCTTCCTCCCTGCATTATTGCTTGCCAGAGAAGGAAATCAAAAGTTTCTGTCTTCTGTTTAAACCAAGATTAATTTCCAGTGATGTTCAGACTAATTGATTCTTTCCCTCACTAACCATGGTTGAACCAAACCACAGTTCTGGACTTCAGCTATTACAGGAAATACATAGTTAAAATTTAGATATGAAAGACAAAACCTAACAGTCTCTTCCTCTGGTATGTGTAAGGGAAGGGAACATGCATGCATCCAGTTGGCTTTGGCTCATTCTTTTAATAGGAAACCATGATTTTCTGCTACTTACTTACCAAGGCACTATTTACATTTTCCACCACCCCCTGGACATGGCTTTCTTTTTTAAATGTACTTTATTAAATAGAAGATTTGTTGAGATGTATGACCAATTAGAAAATGTTCTGCCAAATGCAATTCTGTAAATAAGTACTTGCCAAGGAGCTTTCAAGTTCCTGTTTCCTTTATTTGTTTTTCAGTATAATTGTATGCATTAAAATATATTGCATATGAAATTTGTCCAGTAATATGCACAAGTGCTTATAAAATCTTTGATAGGTCCTTGGTATTGAGTAAAAACCTTTTGGAGAAGACAAAACATCTCAATCCAGTCTATTGAACTGCTCACCCTTATATCTTCATTCTATAAATAAAAAAGAAAAACATAAGCAGCAACTATGGTGGCTCTCTGGTGAAGGGACATGCCGTCAAAATCTGAACAAAATGCCATTCTTTCTAAATGTCACCATTTTGTGAGTATCTATGCATACGTGCAGTATAACATTTTATGATTCTGTAATTTAGTGGTGATAAATAATGGGCTTTTCTGTCTAAAAACTGAATTAGCATTGATTAATATGAGCCTAATATAGTTAATTTGCAAGAACAATAAAGCAAATAATGTTGCTAATCCTCTGTCTAGTTTACAGTACACTTTATAAAGTTTAAAAATCACCCTCATTTTGAGGGTGACACCACTGACCTTCCAATTCAACTAGTGAGATGGTTGCTTTAAATCAGCTTCTGCAACATCTTTCTGTTGTATGCTCATTTCTGTCAATTGTCTTATTTTTTAGCTTGCAGTACTGAAAGGCTATCACACTTACACATTGATGACTCCACCTGTAGCTGCTTTAAATTACAAACTTCTTTAACATTCCAAATATAATTTGTATAATGTATCTGCCTCTGTTTATGGAAAATGCCCAGACTTAAGTACAGGAAAATTAAATGAACTTAAATTTGTATTTGGAGCCTGAAATTATATTGTCACTAGACTGACTATTTGGAAGTGCAGATTCTTCATGGTTATGATTGCTGTTACTGGAGTTTTCGCTCACTATGACAAACTTGAACAAAACTCTATTCAATGTTCTAAAATAAATTCTTGGCTGAAAGAACCAGTCTCCCAGTTCTTACAATATTAAAACTTTCTTTGCTACTTTTTTACTGGGAGAAACCATGTCTCCCGTTAGCAGTTCTTAAACTCTGTCAGTATGACAAAGTTATGTCCTTATTGCTCTTGGAATCAGTTCTGTAAGCTATTTTCTGCTGTAATTCAGGCCAACTCGTTGAAGAATGCCCTTCATATTTGGTATTGGATTATAGCACCAGTGCCTGCATGGTGGAAGTGTTTGTACCTATACAGTTTCTACAAAGAAGACACAAGTACAATAGTATAAAATGTCACATGTCCCAAGCTGCACTTGACACTATTGAATTGTTTTGATCTAGCTTTGCTAGATCAATAAAGCATAATGTAATAATGAAGATACTTGATTTATTAATAGCATTTAATATCTCAGAAAACTATTTTAATGCCTTACTCAGTACTACTGGCATGGCTCAGACTCAACCCCTTATACACTGAATATTGGAAGGTAATATCTGACAAGTTTTGCCTGCTAAATTTAATATAGAATAAAATACAGGTTTCCATTCAAGCTTTACTTCGAACTAGATACTTTAGGCTGCCATTCAATGTGGCTGCCTGTAACCCTTTGAATTTGGAGGACTACAAGTTTCCAAAGATGGGCAGAAGGATTGTGGAGACAAAAGTTATTTTTGTGCGTCTCTTCTCCCCCTCTGCCCCAAGCACTTACATGGCTGATTATGGCCATCTCAGTGTTGTATACCTACTCATGAGGAGGGAGGGTTTGGTAACTCCAGGATTTCTCCTCTCCTGGCAGAGCCTTGCAACTTCAGCACTGCAGTCAACTTGGAAGCATCAATGCCAGCTACAAAGGCAGGGCTGGAATTTTAATTTTTGTGTGGCTATCCAAGCAACATAGGATTGTGCCCTTAGTTTTAGATAGATTTGACAGTGAAACTGTGTGTACAGAAAATACTTTATGAAAATTTGGGAGTGTGGAGGGAGTTATGAAGTTAAGATCCCATGTCAAGAAAATGGCTTAAGATTACTTAAATCATTATTCAAGACAAAAGAGGTTACATTTTTCATAGAATCATAGAAAAGTAGAGTTGAAAGGGGCCATGAAGGCCAGTGGGTCCAAGCCCCTGCTGCTGCAGGGCACCATGTTACACCATCCCACTCAAATGGCTGCCCAGTTTCTATTTGAATGTCTCTAGTCTGGGAGAGTCTACCACCTCTCTAGGCAGCTGGTTCCACTGTTGTATTTCTCTGACAGTGAGGTTTTCTTCAAACCTAATGAGAATATGTCCCATCCCAGACTGGTTTCTCAGGATAGACAACCACATGGCCTCTAACTTCATCTTACGTGATCTGTGGTGTTTCCTGAAGCTGTCTTCATGCTAGTCCCTTGCAGAAATCTGTGATCTGTTTGTGCCATTTCATGAATTTCATTTTCAATTTCTCAACATTGACAAAACAGCTGCAAGAAAGAGCCACATTTCATGGGCTTGTGATCACAAAAGTAAAAGATAGGTTAGTTATTTCTTAATACATATTAAGTATCTTTTTGTTCACGCTCTTGGGAAAGCTCTGAAAAGGGTAGAATCTTCTTATATTACCAGTTTAAACACTGTAATAGTGATCCAGTTTAACAATTGGACAAATTGTTACCTCAGTCACTTAAGAACAGGGTTTTCCCTCCAGAATTCTAGACTCAGTTGCTTAAGAAAAGAGCATGGAATAAATTTATTTTTTTGTGAGTGCGCAAAAGTGAAAGATTTTTAAAAGCTAATTTAACTTAAAGGGGGCTTTGCATTATGATTTTAAAATGGAACATTTTCTAATTCTGATTAGTAGCTTTGAGAACAAACCAAAAGGAAAGCTTTTTTAGACCAAATAAAATAATCTGACATCATTATCTTAAGACTCTGAAGCAGCATTCTTCTTGCCTGTAGTATATCTGCAAATGGTGGTGCCAGAGATATTGCTGCTAGTACTGCCTATGTGTGAAGGTAACTATGTGCACTGCAGTTGGGTGTCACTTCTAATTACTTCATCATTTGTCTGATGAAAGCTACAGGGTGAGAGATTTTTGTTTCTATGTTCACTTCCTTTTTCCATAGGTATGACTGGGATTAGAATGACTCTCTTCTTCTTACCTCTGTTTTTCCTAGTAACCAGGTAACACCACCCAGGAATGTTTTAGTGGTTTTGTCTCCTAATAAAAAGGCAGCTGAATCTAGTTCCTGTTCTGATACCTAGTAGTACAGTTCGAATGCTGATGGACAAAAGATCAGAATTCCTACTTATAATTTGACATCCTGTGGCACTCTGTGGGAAAAATGAACAGAACATATCCTCAGGTATTATCTAACCCCTTAGAAAAATGTTTGTAAATGTTACTTTAATCATAATTGTTATTGGATTTAAATGGCAAACCTTTGTGGCTTCCTGTAAACTAACTATAGGCAAAATACAGTGAATGCTCCAATTTTATCTTTATATATGTTGCCAATAGGGAAACGCATACTTTTGATGAAATCTTCTCTTGGTGATGTGCCTATGTTTCTGAAAGTAGGCATGCAATATACTTAAAACATACACAAATATGATAAATGGCTCCTATCATTTAATAAGTTATGCATTTTATTTCTTTTCGTTATAGAATTTCGATGCAACTTCATTCGGCTCAGCAAACTCGCTCTTCACTGCTGAGAGAGGTAATTAGTAGCCCCACTACTTAATTCAAGATTATGGATGCTGCTTTGAATACACGGAAGTTTCCAAAAAGGGAACAACAGAAACCTCTTAAAATATGTGTAATATATATTCTAATTGTCAGTTGGTGTTTCTATAGTTTTGATCTGAAAGTTGTTTAGTTTTCAGTAGTGTACAACATTGTTAGAAACAAGAATGCTTTTAGATCATTCAGGAGTGTTACCTAACAGACTGTGTTCTGTAGTTAGAAAACATATACTGTGAAATTTGGGACACAGACATGGTTTTTGCATAACAGTGTAATAAATTGTTCTTTATTACATTTGTATACTAGCAAATAGCCAAAGCACTGCAATTTTAGTTGTAGCATCTGCTGGATTGTTCTCATAAATAAATAAATAATTTTTAAAAATATGTTGGAATGGTGGGGCAAGCAAGCAATAAATAATTGATGGCATATATGGATGTACAATAAGAGTAGAGAAAGGGAGGAGGGAGATTAAATGCAAAATAATGCCACTTCTAATCAACTTGTTTCATTTCTTCCTATGTATCTTCTATCTTTCACACCACACGTATATTCAAGTTTCGTTTTCCCCAAACTGTTTCCCTCCAAATGTGTTGTACTACAGCTGAATTCTTTTAAATCCTTTCTTGGTGACAGGTGGTGTGCATGACCTCCAAGACAGCTGCAAGTGTTGCTCTCCTGCTTGTTTCCCTTGTACTCGACGATGCATCTGTGTGTCTGCCATCAGTCTTACTATCCTTGGTACCATTGCTGCTGCCATTGCTTTAGTTGTCACACGTGGTATTCCTCCGCGTACACCAGGTCAGTCACTTTCACCTGTTGTTGTTGTTAGCCTGACTGATTACTGGAGTAATTTCCACACTGCTTTCAACATGTCAAATATTGAAAGATCTATTTGAAGTATGAAGATCTAGGACAGGGGTCTCAAACTCAACTTACCTGGGGGCTGCTGGAAGTAGAGTCTGGGTGAGGCTGGGCCGCATCAA